CATAACACATCACACCATGCAAACTCCCCTCCCTGGAAGGACAGGGCAACAGACACATGGAACACAACAGCCTGCAGGTACCCCCGCACACCCCACGCCCCCCGCCCCAAATCCACACAACGTCCTGACATAGAGGCACAGAGCTGTACAGCACAGAAACAGACCCTTCAGTCCACCTCATCCAGATATTCTAACTTAATCTTAACATGTTTGCCCATTCGGCCCCTATCCCTCTAAACCCTTCCTATTCACATACCCATCCAGATGCCTTTTAAATGTTGTCATTGTACCAGCCTCCTCCACTTCCTCTGGCAGCTCGTTCCATGCACCACCCTCTGTGTGAAAAAGTTGCCCCTTAGGTCCCTCTTAAGTCTTTCCCCTCTCACCTTAAACCTATGCCTCTCTAGTTTTGGACATCCCTACCCTGGGGAAAATACCTTGTCTATTGACCCTATCTATGCCCCTCATGATTTTATAAACCTCTATAAGGTCACCTCTCAGCCTCCGACGCTCCAGGAAAAATAGCCCCAGCTTATTCAGCCTCTCCCTACAGCTCAAATCCTCCAACCCTGGCAATATTCTTGTAAATCTTTTCTGAACCCTTTCAAGTTTCACAACATCCTTCTTATTGCAGGGAGACCACAATTGAACGCAAAAGTGGCCTAACCAATGTCCTGTACAGCCACAACATGACCCCCCAACTGTTATACTCAATGCACTGACCAATAAAGGCAAGTGTACCAAACGCCTTCTTCAATTCCCTGTCTACCTGTGACTCTACTTTTAAGGAACTGTGAACATCCACCCCAAGGTCTCTTTGTTTGGCAACACTCCCACCAGACCCTACCATTAAGTGTACAAGTCCTACCCTGATTTACCTTTCCAAAATGCAGCACCTCACGCCTTGGAAATATATCGCCGTTCCTTCATTGTTGCTGGTTCAAAATCCTGGAATTCCCTCCCTAAGGGCATTGTGAATCTACCCACAACTGCAGGTAGCTCACCACCACCTTCTCAAGGGGCAACTAGGGACGGGCCATAAATACTGGACTAGCCAGTGACATGCACATCACATGAACAATTTGTTAGGAGCCAAATTGCTCACAGCAAGCTCCCACAAACAAACATCCACTTTCCCGAAAAACGCAGAAATCGCTGGAGAAACTCAGCGGGTCTGACAGCGTCTGTAGAGGGAAAGCAGAGCTAATGTTTTGAGTTCAAAGGAGTTACAGTGTGCAGTTCTGGTTGCCCTGCTAAAGGAAGGATGTTATTAAATTGGAGAGGGCTCAGCAAAGATTTACCAGGATGTTGTCAGGAATGGAGGGTTTGCATTGTAAGGAGAGGCTGGAACTTTACTCACTGGAGTGTAGGAGGTTGAGGGGTGACCTTATAGAGGTTTACTGAAACATAAAGGGCATGGATAATGTGAATGGCAAACGTCGTTTTGCTAGGTAGCGGAGTTCAAAACTAGAAGGCATAGGTTTAAGGTGAGAGGAGAAAGATTTGAAAAAGACATGAGGGGCAAATTTTTTTACATAGAGAGTCATTCGTGTGTGGAATGAACTTTCACAGGATGCAGGGACAGTTACAGCACTGAAAAGACATTGGACAGGGACATGAATAGGAAAGGTTTGGAGGGATAGGGGCCAAACACAGGCAGGTGGGGCTAACTTAGTTTGGGAACTTGGTTGGCGTGGACTAGTTGGACCGAAGGGTCTGTTTTTGTGCTGTGTGACTCTATGACCTGAAGAAGGGTCAGTGGACTCGAAATGTTAACTCTGCTTTCTCTCTCCCCATATGCTGCCAGACCTACTGAGTTTCTCCAGCACTTTCTGATTTGCGTCTCAGATCTTCTGGACTGTAAAATTCTATTATGCTATTCTACCTTTGACACCTGCGGTTCTTTAGTTTTATTTTAATCTACTTTTGTGATATCGGTAAAGGGATAGATTTACAGCCAGGATGCTGCAATTCGGGGCTTGGGTTTTCCTGCTCTTCTTCACTCTGGTGCTGCAGGATGTTTAGACCCAGCTGAGAGGTTAGATCATATGAAACAGGACCCATAATAGGCCGTGAGATAACAAGGTGTAGAGCTGGATGAACACAGCAGGCCAAGCAGCATCAGAGGAGCAGGAAGACTGACGTTTCGGGCCTAGACCCTTCTTCAGAAATCATAATAGGCCATTTGGCCCATTGGGGCCTGCTCTAGTCCAATCCTTAGCATCATCTTTTCCTCAAATCCCTTGATTTCCTGAGAGACCAAAATCCCATCTACCCCAGTCTTAAATGTATTAGACGGGTCCACGGTTGGTCTTTTAACCAAAAATCCAACAGCATTGCAATCCCCCAATGCTGGATTGGGATGGCAGCCCAGATTCTTCGCGCAGATCTCTGGAGTGGGAGTCAAACCCACTACCTTCCTGACTCGGGATAAAAAACGACGACCAGAAGACAACTCGACGCAGGGTCACTCTCCTTGTCATTGTCATAGAGTCATACAGCACAGAAACAGGCCATTCGGCCCAACGCGTCCATTCCTACCAGGTTTTCTAAGCTGAATTACTCCCATTGGTCAGCATTTGTCCCATATCCCTCTAAACCCATCCTATTCATATACCCATCCCGATTCCTTTTAAATGTTGTAATTGTACCTGCATCCACCACTTCCTCTGGCAGCTCATTCCATACACGCACCACCCTCTGTGTGAAAAAGTTGCCCTGTTTAAATCCTTCCCCTCTCACCTTAAACCTATGCCCTCTAGTTTTGGACTGCCTTACTCTGGGGAAAAGACCTTTGCTATTCACCCTATCCATACCCCTCATGATTTTATAAACCTTTATAAGGTCACCCCTCAGCCTCCAACACTCCAGTGAGAAAAGTCCCAGCCAGTCCATGTATCTCAAACCCTCCATTCCCAGCAATATCCCGGTAAATCTTTTCTGAACCCTCTCCAACTTAATAATATCCTCTTATAACAGGGAGACCAGAACTGGACACAGTACTCCAGAAGAGGCCTCACCAGTGTCCTGTACAACCTCAACATGACTTCCCAAGTCCTATATTCAAAGGTCTGAGCAATGAAGGCAAGTGTGCTAAATGCCTTCTTAACCAGCCTGTCTATATGTGATGCAAATTTCAAAGGATTATGTACCTGAACCCCTAGGTCAGTCTGTTCTACAACACTACCCAAAGCCCTACTTTTAATTGTACAAATCCTGTCCTTGTTTGTTTTACCAAAATGCAATACCTTGCATTTGTCCAAATTAAACCCCATCTGCTACTCCTCAGCCCATTGACCCATTTAATTGCCCTTTCCTAAATGCCACATCCTTGCCCAATCTGCTGTGACTACTCTGTAAATGTCAGGAAAAGGCTCAGGGGCGTCAGGTGAGGTATAAGGCTCTCCTCCTGTTTGTGTACTCCTTGCACACCCTGCAGTCTGCTCTGTGTGGTTGGAATAGAATAACGCAGATGCTGGAAATCTGAAATAAAAAGAGAAATTGCTGGAGAAACTCAGCAGGTCTGGCAGCATCTGTGGAAAGAGAGAGAGAGAGAAAAACAGAGTTAATGTTTCAAGTCCAGTAGTTCGGGACTGGAGGATGCTGGTTTTTAATGTCACTCTGTCATAGAGTTTTTCTTTTAAACAGCGCAGAAAGAGGCCCTTCAGCCCATCATGCCCACACCAGTCACAACCAATCACATCCATCCCACAGTATGGCAACCAGAACTGCAGACAGTGTTCCAGCTGTGGCCTAACCAATGTTATATACAGCTTCATCATAACCTCCATGCTCTTGTATTTGATGTCTTCAGTAATAGAGAGTTGTTGAACAGAGACCTTGGGATGCAGGTTCATAGCTCCTTGAAGGTGGAGTCACAGGTAGATATGATGGTGAAGAAGGTATTTGGTACGCTTGCCTTTATTGGTCAATGCATTGAGTATAGGAGTTGGGGGGTCATGTTGCGGCTGTACAGGACATTGGTTAGGGCCACTTTTGGAATATTGCTTTCAATTCTGGTCTCCCTGCTGTAGGAAGGATGTTGTTAAGCTTGAAAGGGTTCAGAAAACATTTACAAGGATGTTGCCAGGGTTGGAGGTTTTGAGCTATAGGGAGAGGCTGAATAGGCTGGGGCTATTTTCCCTGGAGCGTCGGAGGCTGAGGGGTGACCTTATAGAGGTTTATAAAATCATGAGGGGCATGGATAGGGTGAATAGCCAAGGTCTTTTCCCCAGGGTGAGGGAGTCAAAAACTAGAGGGCATAGGTTGAAGGTGAGAGGGGAAAGATTTAAAGGGGACCTAAGGGGCAACTTTTCCACACAGAGGGTGGTGAGTGTATGGAATGAGCTGCCAGAGGAAGTGGTGGAGGCTGGTACAATTACATCATTTAAAAGGCATCTGGATGGGGAAATGAATAGGAAGGGTTTAGAGGGATAGGGGCCTAATGCTGGCAAATGGGACTAGATTAATTCAGGATATCTGGTTGGCATGGACGAGATGGACCGAAGGGTCTGTTTTCTGTGCTGTACAGCTTTGTGACTCTATGATACCCTCATGCCATAAATGGATAGAAGAAGTTGCAGAGTCATGTACTTCAGAGTTGCTGACCTTGGGACCTAAGGGGCTATGTTTTCACACAGAGGGTGGTGCATGTGTGGGAAGCTGAAATGCTCCATCTTATAACCTCCTAGATTTTATAATCTATAACCCCCCCCGCTAACTTGTCCAGCTCTCCTC